GCCCACCTCTGAAAGGAAAAGACTGATAATGGTTTTGCGTGTTTGTTGGTGTGTGTATGTCAGTAGTGTTATCAAAATACTTCATGAACAGGTTCGGTTTTAATGAAACTTTAACAACATTGACCTAATTCAGGGCTGTCCAAACATTTTTTCACATGGGCCAAAATCATAAAGTCAGAAGGACTGGAGGGCCAAAAATATTTTTCCTTTACCTGCTCAACAATAAACTAAGCATTAAGTACTTTAATTAAACAAATAAAGTAGTTAAATTTATTGCTGGAAATGGATGTGTAAATTAATCAAGATTCAGAACTTTGAAAGTGTTTTGCAGGATTTCCCTTATTGAAAGAAATTTAGTTCAATTCAATTCAGTTTATTTACATAGTGACAGGTCACAACATACGTTGTTGCAGGGCAATGTACATGTAAAAAGAACAAATGGATGGATGGTTAGCAATTTTCTAGGTTTCAATTGGGGAAAAAATAAACAATTTTCGATTCTGATCAATAAAATCAGGATTTAGGTCACTGTCGTTGAAAATGCTTGCTGTATTCAGACAAATGTAATAAATTAAAAGCAAAATCGGCTTTTGAGTAGAAGTCAATAGATGTGGAAGCTTATTTGGTTATTTTGTTTGTTAAAAGACAAATAATTGGTATTGTTGCCAATATTTTTATTGTTAGATTTTACTTTGTGATAATTTTGTCCTAATAATAAACAGAAAGTCTCCGTGAAACACCTGTGCCGGGAGGACAAATTTGTAAATAATTTAGTACAATTCTTAAACTGAAGTCAGTGGCCACACAAAATCGGTTCAGGGGCCACAGATGGCCCCCAGGCCACACTTTGGACATCCCTGACCTAAGCCAACATAAAGCAGATCAATCAGTCATACAGATGAGATAATAGATGACTCTGATTACAGGAAAATGTTTTCTATTTACAATCGGATCATAAATATCTAAAGTCACAGCTGCCTATATTAAATATCCAAACATTTATTTCTCTCACAAGACTTTTTCTTTTTGAAATCTGTATAATTCACAACGTTTAACCAAAACAACTGCTCCTTCAAACAATCTCAGTTTTGTGAGTGTGATGTGAACTCTCTGCAGCTGTTTGGCCTCCTGACTGTGGAAGTTGTTAGCTTGTGTGTTTTTTTATTCCACCCAGTCTCCACCAGTTCCTCTCCTTTTGGCTCTGAAACATCAGCTTTATGAAGGCTGACTGCAAACTTTCCACTCTGAGGCCGTTTCATCTGCATCTGTTAACCCCCACCCACCCCCACCAGCAGCAGCAGCTGTAGTGAGCCCCCCATCTTTCCTCTGTTTCACACCATTGTGCCAGCTCCCAGCAAGTTGTCTGCGAGGATCTGCTGACACCAGCGCTGGATGTCCAGCTCCGACAGCCTGTGGTGTTTATGCGTCAGTGTCTTTATCCCGAAGCTGAAGTACCACCTGGGGGGCAGTTAGGACATATGTTGGGCACTTAACCACGTCAGTGGTCTTTACAAACATCTGAGTGCTGGTCGATCCGGAGCTCTTTGCTCCACCATTATCAAAGCAATTAAAAGCGGCCACATTAGCCATTGATGTAGAGCTATGCAGATTAAACCCAGTGGAGTTGAGGATGAGTGGGTGAATGCTGCTTTTACTCTTAGTTCTCCTGCTGTGCTGCAGAGGAGAAGGTCAGTGGAGATCAATATGGAACAAAGAAACCATCGTTCTCCCTCCTGGACATCGACTGATCAGCCTGGTGGCTTCGCTGAGCCAACAGGAGCCATTAAACAACTTTTCTTTTTAGAACCACAACATTTTATTGACATAACACGTACAGTTAGTGCTTTAAAGCAACGGCTCAGATCTTTTGAAGGTGAGCAATGTGGAGGATTAAGCAGGTAATGTATTACCTGCTGTGGATAGCTCTTTGACTGACCACACTTAGGTGAAATAGTTTCATTTTGTTTGGAGTGATGAGCTAAAGGCTAGTCCAAGCATGGTCAGRAATCCAACCTTAAAACTTTTACAGTGTTTTATGTGAACACTTTTATAAATCTTTACATTGTGGCATTATTCCAGACATATGACGAAATACCTGCAGGAAATGCTTCAGCTACCAGAGGTTTATAAAACAGTGTTTGCAGGAACCACTGTAAAATATTGGACTGTTCATTATGGCTATGGTCCACTTTAGTCCTGATATGCTCTGAGCTGCTGCAGTCTGATCAAAACTCAAGTTTATTACACCAAACTGAGTTCACTTAGAGAGCCCATTCACACCTGCTGATTAAATTTAGCATTTGCTATTAAATGCAGGTGACTGGCCACAATGTGTATTGAAAACTTATTTTTTCCAGAGGTGACCAGAACCCTTTTTATCTGCACACATCTGGTGGCCTGAACCACCCGACCTGACAGGACCACACACAAGCAGCAGTTATTTCACTGGATCATCATTGGGAATTTTGTAAAGATACAGCATTTCTCTTTTTTTTTTTTTTTTTTTTTTTTTTTTTTTTTTTTTTTTTTT